CATCATCATCATCATCATCATCATCATCATCATCATCATCATCATCATCATCATCATCATCATCATCATCATCATCATCATCATCATCATCATCATCATCATCATCATCATCATCATCATCATCATCATCATCATCATCATCATCATCATCATCATCATCATCATCATCATCATCATCATCATCATCATCATCATCATCTACCAAACACAACTAAGTTGATCCCTAATGTTACTGTACTAGATAAGAACTATCAACATATAAAAATGTTCTTCATAACTACAAAGATCACCATATCAAAGCATTATTCAAAACTATGCTATCACCATATGAAAGCATTGACATTAGCTTGGATCATGCCATTGCTTAATAATAAAGAACATAGATTAAGATTCGAACAAGACTCAAGGTAAGGGTACCTCAGATTGAGCAGGAGTAGCATCAGAGGCACCGATTGAAACTCCAACGGCTTTTCCAGGGAACTTGCAACAATTTGAAACTTTTAAGTTCGAGGAAAATCAACAAATAGACCAAATCTTAGTAGATTGATACAAGATGACGAACCTTTTAACAAGCTGGGAAGCCACACAATTGTACACTTGCTAGCATTGGGGAATGCATCGCTTTGTTTCTCAACACAGCAGCGTATACCTTCACATCATCTACATATAATTGATCTCTACGAAAATCAAAGCTCTGTTAGAGTTCGAGCGGAGATCGAAGCAATGGAAGGGTTAAGAATAGTATTGCAAAAAAAGATGGGGAAGTGAGAAACCTGAGGAGAGTGGTAGAGAAGCGGAGAGAGGCGGAGAGGTGGAGAAAAGCGGAGAGGCGAAGCTGCGGCGAGATAGAGAGAAGCAGAGAGACGTTCAATTTGGCCGTTGATTTCACCGTCGATCACCTTCTTCTTTTTCTCGAGTGAGAGAGGCAGAGAAACTAAACAAGGGATGAGAATTCTGAATTAGGTTACATGTTTTGTTTATTTTTTTTAAATATTTTTTTCCTTTTTATTAAACATTTTAGTTTTTAATTCAGAATAAAATATGTTTTATTTGATTAATTTAAAGGTTAGTTTTGGGATTATGAAAATAATTATTCTAAAGAGACAATTTAAAGAAGATTTTATACTAAGAGGACAAGGAAGCTGTTTTTCTGTTCCATATTAGCATAATTCCCTCTTTTTTTTACCAAAACTACAACTATTGATAAAGACCGAAAATATATAGTGATGAAGCATAAGCTAAAAAATAAGACAAAATGTTATTTAAATAATCAGTTTTTTTTTTCTTCTAATTTGGTTGAAATAAATAACCAACTTTTTGGTAAGCCAAAACAAACATTCAATTTTTATTGAGAAGTCACTTTAATCACAAAATTTTGTCGACAATACCATTTTATTTATATCACTAGGCAACAGTTATAGTTGACTAATTGTAGGCCTAAAATGACTTTTAAAGCTGATGACTTTTTGGCACAAATATAAATCAATTTTACTAAAATATTGGATATATTTTTAATATTGAAAATATATTTTTAATAACTATAACACCAATAAATAAAATAATAAATAAAATATAATTCCAACCAAAAATATAAACAGTATTCAATGTAAAATAATTAGTTAACATATCATTAATTGAGTAGTTTAGTTAAACAGAATTATGAATATTTTATTAATTATTTATTATTAATTTTTAAAAAATATTTATAGAATCCTATTTAAATTAGGTTTTATAATTTTATTGTCAGAATTGTTTTTAGTGAAATACTAATTCAACTCTTGATTCTTAAACAAAAAGAGTTACAGGATAATGGATTCTTCATGTTTCTTCAAATTTTTTGATGAAACTTACTTTTCTTTAAATGCATAAAAAAATTTGTGACAAATTTATAGAAATTATATAGATTTATTTTAAGATCTTGATTATAAATAAATTTAATATGAAGACTCTATTAACCGACAATTCTTCTTGTTTAAGAATCAAGAGTTGAATTAATATTTCACTAACAAATTTTTGAAAATAAATTATAAAACGTAATTCAATTAGGATTATATAAATTTTTACAAAAAATAATCCTAAATAATAAAAAAATCTACATAATCATTTTATAATTACGAATGATATGGTAACTAATTATTTTACATTTACTTCTTTTTATATTTTTTGTTGGATTTATTCTTTATTTATTAGTTTTATAGTTATTAAATATATTCAATATTTAGAAAAATATGTACTTATATTTTTGTCTAAAAGTCATCAACTTTAAAAGTCATTTTAGGCTTACCGTTAATTAACTTTAACGGTTGACTAACTATATGACTAAAATAGTATGGTCGATGAACGTTTGTGATTAAAAATGGATTGTACACAAAAATTAAGTATTTTTTTTGGCTTAAAAGAAAGTTGATGTTTTATTTTAACCAAATTTGAAAATGGGTAATGATGCTTTAAATGACATTTTCCCGTTATTTAACAATATCTAAGAATAATGATTTTTTGGTTCACCTAGTTGTAGAAAACAAATAAAAGTTTCAAAATTTTCAAACCTAATGCAACTTAACTCCTACACTAAACTACAATATACAAAAAAATCATTATGAAGTATTTTTCTAACTTAAAAATGACAAAAATAAATTGATATAATAGATTTATTCCAATTCTGCAGGACCCATAATAAAAAAATCCATTGAAAACTGATATATCCCCATAACAAAGTCTTACAATTATTTTCATATAATAAGATTTAGTTGAGATAACTACTCAGAAAACCAAGTCCAATTTCATACCCAAAACCCTAAAAATAAGGTCGAAGGTTTTAAATCGTCTTCACTCAGATTTCTTGGTGGCTTCAGGCTTGTTGTCAGCATTTGAGCCATTGATCGTCTTCAAGGAACCTTTTGTCGCTTTATTCTCAACTTCTCAAGGACTGGTTAAATTATTTTCAACGTCCTCACTCCTTGTACTTCGGGAAGGTAGTTTAGTGTCTATATCTAGAATTGATATCTCATCCCTTGAGGCATACGAGGAATTTACACAGGCAACACACTCCAGCTAAATGAACAAAAAAATCAGAATGTGAATATGCATAAGATCATGCCGAGAATAAATGACTTAATATGGAAAAGCAAAAGAACCTGATAGCGATCTCCATGCCCAGTTTGAAAGATATCCCTCAGGCCAATTTTAATTTGACTGCATCTCGAGCATCTTACATTACTCATCTGCATCCAAAGCCAACACATGACATTATCGAAGACATTCTCCAACTTAACATAAGAAATTGGATAATCATAAATGATATAACCAGCATTCGTTTCGCATCATCAAGCTCATTTTTCGCTGTTTCCTCATTTGTTAGACCCACCTGGATCCCATAAAAACAAATCTTATTCTTTCAACATGTAAGAAATAATTATTACTTTTTACCCATTATAGCACAAAGAAAGTTTCAGATCATCTGTTTACTAATATGATAATATAACAATTTCCTAACCTTTAACTCAGTGGGTGACATGTTCAAAATCTTTTTAGGTTCTAACTCGCCATTGAGGAGTCGTTTAGCCAGCAAAGAAGTGTTCTACAGACAAAACAAAATGGGATTACTGTTCAATATTCATGAGGCATACAAACTTTAGCATGTCATATAAGGATGTCGCATTAAATTAATAGATCTACTGTTAAGAACAGAGCCGGACCTGTCAATTTAGGGGCCCTATTCCAAAAAAAAAATTGATATATATATATATATATATATATATATATATATATATATATTAAGATGAATGAGCAACAAAGATTTGTTAAAATCAGTTACAATTTTGAATTCTCTATTTTTTTTAGTATGAACCAAAAAGATTGTTTCTAGTCAAAAGGCATTGAGAGGACATCTTGAAAAAAAAAAGAGTGATTTATTATCATTTAACTACTCGTTGCTCAAAAAACAAAAATTATAACCACTCTTGTCCCGCCTAATACTCCATTTACATCTCTACCATGAAACTTTTTCTTATCAGCATTTTATACATACATGAACATATAGATTTTTTTTTTGAAATGGAGCCCCATATAGTGGGGGCCCCATCCAAATGTTTAGTAACACTATCCTCAAGTCCGGCTCTGGTTAAGAATATGGAGCATACGTGCACAAAAAATCATGAAATGGCATGAAGGCAGATTCTAACCTTTAGATTGAATGCCAATTTCCTTATCCTTTAATTGTATTTAGAATAATCTGATGCAAAAGAAACATTTAAAGCCATCTCAGGGCACACACAGGAAGAACAGCAGCATCTGGCCAGAGAAAACTCTCATGCTGTCAAGCAGGTTAAACTAACAGGGTTATGAAAATAGAGATTATTTTGATATGATAAAAGAGGGTTAGAAAATTTTAGTTTAAGACTTTTAATGGATTCTCGTGGGATCCATCTGAACGCACATTTGCTTCATCACCAGCGTTAGAGCATATGTTCTTGACTGCTTCCAGAAGCTTCGCCAAACACTTGTTACGATGAACATCATCAGTTAGTGAATCAAACTTGTCTTAGATCGAATGATACTCTGATGTAATAGGAAAGGTATCTTTCTCCTTTCTAACATCAACAGGAGGTATGTTCACTTTGTTAGTTTTGTGAGAATATGAGATGTTTAGTGAGAGTTTAGTGCTGGAGAATGAAGAACAAGAAAGAGAGAGAAAGGAGATAATAATTTTTTTAAATCTGAAAAAGTCATTATAATATATTATTAAAGAGAAGAAACATAATGGAACATACTTACTCTAGATACCAAATACACTCACTTAATAGAGAAGCTAAAATAAGATATCACTTTTATTTTAATATTCAATACTCCCCTCAAGCTTGACAATGGGAATCAGTTAAGCTTGGAAGCCATGAAGACCTCTTGACATCACTCAAATTACCCTAAGGAGTGAATTACTCTCTCAAATAAGATGTTCAGTTGTAGTACTTAGGGATCGAATCCACAAGGAACTAAGGAACACAGAAGATATAATCCTTAGTGATTATGCTAGGTTGATTAAGTTTAAAAGTAAATTGCAGTTGTGAGCAATGGTAAGCTGCTCAAGAAAATTGGTTTAGGTTTTAAACGATAAGAGAAAGTAGTTAGATTCAAGGTTGCTATTCAGATAAGAGAAAGTAATGCTACAGATGTTTTAGTAAGTTTCTTGCAAGTTATTAAAGAACTTCAACTCTTAGATAAGTCTATTAGCAATCGCTATCTAGACTCGTCCATTGATCTGACTGCCGGTAATATCGACCGATGTTTTGACAGCGATATCGGACGATATAGGTTGCCGTAGATCGATTACTATATAGGAGTATCAATCGATATAGCTTCAGACCAAATTGAATATGTGTTCACCAAGATCATAGACCGGCTCTCGTTCGTCCCTTGAAGATCTCAGCTTATGCCAAATGATTTCAGGATAATGATTAACAAGTTAAATCATTCTAGGATCATACTCTAGTTAGCTACTCTAGAGTAAGCATTAGGGTTCATCAGGATAATGAATATCACAACTCAACAATCCATAGTTGGGGCTAATCCGTCATAACTATTTGAACCCCAAATTTAACAAGTGAATCTACTCAGACATGGCTAAGTGATTCATAGCATCAAGGTAATAATAGAAATTCATAAGATTAGAAGATTCAACACTTGGTTCCTTTGAACAACAAATCTCTTTGTATATTCTTCTAAATCTAGAACTCTATAACCTTTGATGAAAATGAGAATAAGATGAAAAGAATACTTTTATTAATGAAAGCACTAAGAGTATTAAAAAGCACACTACGAATCAAAAGCATACCCTGCCAAAACACATAGGCATAACTATAAATATGAGTTCAATTAGGTTAAAAACTCGTCAGGGGCAATCTTGTAATATTGAGAGAACTTGGGCTTCAAGTCGGCTGAGTCAAACTTATTCTTCACGCTCGATATCGATCGATGGTACAAGGCGTACATCGATCGATGGAGTATCTCGATTCGTCATCTTCTACGAAAGCGTCGTCGATCGATTACACAGGATGTGTATCGATCGATATGTATCTCTGGATATCGACCTTGTTGTCTGATCTTCATAGTTATCTTGGGAAAACTCTTCTTTAAGCTCCATAAGGGCACCTTAATCATCACTTTACTCCAAAATGCTCCTGAACCTGAAAACGTACCTAATGGACTCCAAAACACACACACACACACACACACACACACACACACACACATATATATATATATATATATATATATATTGTAAAATCATCTCAATACCATGGTTAAAAGTGGGTCAAAACTATGGTAGATCAACTCCCCCAGACTTATCCTTTTACTTGTCCTCAAGCAAACACAATAGTTAGTCTTTGGAAGAAGTTTAAAAAAAAAAACAGCAGGGACTCAATCAAATCTTAACTTATGATCATCACCTCTACTTTGTTGCAAGCCACATCTCATATCTATTAACTACAGAAGTACATTATACCATATCCTAACTTAGCAACCAAATTCATCTAGCCAATCAACTTAGCAATCCTGTTTGTCTATCCCCTCTACTGATTTCATTTATGCATAAAATAATAGTGTAGGCTTTACCTTGGGAGTATCGATCAAGGAACACTTAGATTCAACTCAAGCAAGTTTCATGCATTCTCATTTGGGTTTCTTTTCTCCATATATCTCCCTTCTCTGAATCCCAAATTTTTCTTTTTCTTTTATATCAATCCAAATGAATAACAAATGTTCACCTTATTGATCTTTCTACTTTTTGTAGCCTTTTCTGACAATGTGTAGGCGAATAGTGGGGTCATGGGTAATTTACCTCTCCCTCGCTTCCACAATGTGCAATCATTCCTTTGAATTAGAATAGTGGGGTCATGGGTAATGTACCTCTCCCTCTGCCTCTCAGGAAACCATCTCTATCTTTTTTTTTTTTTGGAATGCCAAAGGAAGGAGAGAAGGAAACCAAAATTATCAAGACTTTTACTTTCCAGACTTGCAGGAGGATTCCGATCCCTTGTATACCAAGCCCCAAGACAAGCAATAGATGTCAGGTTAGGTTGGAAATCAGCTTTGGTTCTTCCAAACAATCATGAAAAATGTTGTCATAGGTGACCGGTGATCCACTTTAGCATCTATAGTACTTTCTGCAATCAACAATTCTAAGAATGGTGCTAAAGAATGGTTAGATAAAAAGTAAAAATTTTTGAAATATCTTTGTCCCCTTCTTGACTCAATAAAACCAAATTTGAAAATATTTAATAAGATCAAAAAGTAAAGTAGCATCAGTGATCTCCACTCCCCCAGAATTAAATCATACACTGTCCTTAGTGTATAACCGGTCGGAGTTAGGGCATAAATAAATAATGTATAACTGATATCGAAAATTGTGAACGATATACCTGACCGGAATTCGTATCGATCGATGGTGAGTCGCCTTCGTCGATCGTCATGGATAGGTCTATGTCGAGCGATGTCGACAGGATCGTATCGGCCGATAGAGGTAGTGATCGTGTAGCATCTCTTCTGAAACTAATAAAACGAAAGTAAAAACTAAAATAAATATAAAACTAAGTAAGAAAATACCAAATAGTGGGTTGCCTCCCACTCAGCGCTTATTTAAAGTCATTTAGCTTGACTATGGAGGTATGGTGGCTAGTGAGGTGAGTTGCAGGTACTTGTTGGGAAACAAGTATCCTCCTTGTTGTGTGATTCTCCAAAACATGAAGTTAAGAAGATTTTTGTGGCTTCCTCTCTTCTGGTCATACTAGCTTTCAACTCTTGGACCTCATCTTGGATTCTTTGTAGCCACTCCTCAAGGCTCGCAATGCTGAACTCATGTTGTCCAATCTTGCAGTAGGTTTGTTCTAGATCAATACTCAGCTGCATGGTGTCGAGGTGTTGGATGGTTTTCACATGCGAAGAGGTATTATCTCCCGATCTTTGTGTAGTTTTGTCAGTCGATTTGAAAGGAGGTCGATCGGTCGGTGGGCTGAATGGCACGTCGACTGATGCGGATGGTGCAGGTCGGTTTGCGAGCTATCTCTGAATGTTTTCGATCTCCTTCTGAATTACTTCTGTTGTGAATTCCAATCCTTGAACGTCACTCTGTACTGGGAACCACATCTTGTCGAGTAATCTGTATGCTTCGTCTCTACAGGCTTCAATAGCTTTGTAGATATCTCATGTTATTTCCTCAAGTTCTTCTCTAGTACAGAACTCTAGTGCTTTAATATCGGTCGATGTGCTGGGTAAGTCATCGATCGATAGCGCCTGTAGGTGACTCTAGATAGGTTTGTCTATGGTGGTATCCATATTACTCCATATGTTGTTCACTCGATGCATGAGGCTGTTGCTGAGGTGTAAGCATTTGTCTTCCAAGGCTTTATTGTTGTGTTCGTCTGCTTTTCCCAGATCTAGGTAGATGGTGTTGATAAGCTCGTCAATCTCTTGTTTGGTGTAAGGGATCGTTGGTGAAGAACTCATATCGATCGATGATGTTTTGGCTGTATCGGTCGATATCTGTTTCTCAGATTCCAGCTCTTCGTGAAGCGCATTCACTTCTTCTTGTAGGGCATCCTTCTCTTTGCGAACCAGTTCATTGGTAGTCTGAAACGAATGTAATTCTCCTTGAAGTGATACTTTGGTTCTTTCATGTTCAAACTTCAGTGATTCCTTTTCCCAACTATGTTCACCAACTCTTCCATTGATCATGTGTGTGACCTCTGCTTGTGTGTAGAGCTTGCAAACTGGAACTCCTTTAGCAAACTGTTCAGCGTGTTCTGGTAAACATAAACAAGAGCGCTCCATCATTGAGGCTCTATTCAGCAATTTTCCCATATCTTCTTTGGAAACATGGATGATATCTCCATCTACTCCTCTTGCGAAACCATATTCATCTTTGTAGATTCCATATTCGTCTTTTTTCCCACAAGAATCGACGAATCCCGAATTTGAAAGCTCGTTTCTCAAATTCTCGACGTATATCGTTCGATGTGAGTCT